AGGGAGCACCCCCCAGCCCCCTGCCCTGCGTCTCCCCCAGCACGGTGACTTGGCAGGGACCATGGCGGCTGTGACATCCTCCAAGCCAACGCCGACCTCCAGCCACGAGCATGCAGTGCTCCTCCACGGCCGTGCACCCCAAATCCCACCCTGCAGCCCCCCACTTACCCTCCAGCTCCCCGCCGGGGGCCGAGATCTTGGACATGCAGAGGTAGGCAGTGCCGATGATATCGTTGTGCGTCAGACGGTCCCTGCAAACACAACCCGTGATGTCATCGCACCGTGGACCTGGGGGCTTTGCCCGTGGGGTCTCCCCCTGCTTGTCCCACTCATCTTTCCCCATGGGCAGGCAGAGGCAGCCCCCCGGGGAGCCCCCTCCCCGCTCACCAGTCGGTCACCCGGATCCTCATCTTCTCACACATGGAAGGGAACTGGGAAAAGAGGCAGGGAGTGGAACGGTGAGTGGGGTGGGCATATGGGTGGGTGGGGGGCCACGGGGGCACCCACACTCACCATCGCCGGCAGCGGCAGGCGGGGCTGCCGCACGCCACGGCCACTGAGCCGGGAAGCCTCGGATCCCCAAAACACAGACTCTGTCTGATGGGTGGCCTGGTGGGGCCTCCCAAACCCCTCTGAGCAGGAGGCAGAGCATGCTATGGTCTGCTTGGGGATCTTTACCCCCTGGGACCACCAGAAAGTCATTCCCTTCCCACTGTGGTTGCTCAGGATGATGTCCCACCAGGACAGGCTCTGTCCACAGGCTCTGTCCCACCCCAGGCACTGTTCCCAGGAGAAGTTTTACGGATGGGGGGGACTCTCAGACCTTCAGTTCTGCCACAAGAAGACAAAGCGGATGCTCGTGGGCATCTCGCATGGTGAAGGCACTGGAGGGGACCCGGCAGCAAAGGGAGCAGCACGGGGCTCTGCAAAGCCACCGGAGTCACCTCCGCACCCTGGCTGGTGATGGGGGCGGTGGCAGGGGGCGAGCCAGTCGCTCGCTTCAGGCAGCGCTGAGCAGAGCAGCACAACCCTCATCTGATGCCTTCTCCTCCTCGCCCGGGAGCTCAACCTCTCCATCCCCGTTTTTAATGCAACAGCACCGCGAAGAGCCCAGCAAAGAAACTGCTCCGGTACAGCCCGGCACGCCGTGTCTGGCAGCACCGCTGGGCTCGGAGCCGGCCACGCGCAGGGGGACAGAGCTGGGGACACCAGCTGGGCTGCAGGACGTTGCCACGGAGAGGGAAAGAAGACAGGGTATGACCAGGAGTGATGGCACCTTCGCAAACGCTCCAGCAAAAATTTCCCATAATGGGATGAGATCTTCCCCGTGCACGGCTGCTGTCCCAGCCATGGGGAGCAGGGGGTGGCTTCCCCGCTCCGGCCACGCACCGTCTTGCCTGCGAAGCTGACTTCCACAAAGGGATCAACGAGGTTCTTCTTGTTGCTCTCGAAGCCGAAGATCTGCTTGACGTTGTCCATGACGGCATCATCCACTGGGAGGAGAAGGAGATGTTCAGAGCTCATGGAAGTGCGTGGCATCCGGATGGCCCCAGCCCTCCGGGCAGGCTGTCCCACCCGCCGGGCTGCGCATCCCCATTGAGCCAGGTGGGGAGGAGCAGGAGGGTAAAACCAGTTTGCACCAGTAAAAGACTTCTCTCCCAGTACGTTAAGATTGACCCTCTACTCTGCCCTGGTGAGGCCCCATCTGCAGTGCTGGGTCCAGTGCTGGGCTCCCCAGTTCAAGAAAGATGAGGAGCTACTGGAGAGAG